AGACTTAGAAAGAACCCTTGCTCGGTAATCTCTGTTCAGGCCCTGGGGAGATAGCGCAGCTAAGCGGACAAGGGAACATGTATGAGTGTGGGGATAGATGCATGGGATTGGTTGGGAAAGAGTGTGTGGGTGGGATTATGTTCTATGGGAGTTGTCTTACCTCAGTGCCGCTTGGCATTCGTGCCAACAAACAGATTCCCTCCCGCCCACACCATTAGTATATTCAGTCGCAGCTAGCCGGGGGTATGTCTTTGCCAATTAAGTTTGAGGGGTTACGTTTAAGTATATGGAATGAAATTAGCAAGTTTTTCAGGTCTCAACCTCCCCTGTTCTAAAGGGTTAACCTTAGGTTACTTGTTATGCCATGCCCATCGAGCGTGGATAAGGTCTGCTGGTGGTAAGCATTGGAAGGAAAGGAGTTTATGCTGAGGGGGAGGTGAGAGGAAGTGGTACATAGGCACATAGTCAGTTTATTGGCAAGGACAGTTGGGTTCACTGTATAACACTATCTGTTAAGTTTTATATATGTATATGTTAAAGGGACACTCCAGGCACCCAGACCACTTCTGCCCATTGGAGTGGTCTGGGTGCCAACTGCCACTACTCTTAAACCTGCAAGTGTAATTATTGCAGTTTTTTATAAACTGCAATAATAACCTTGGAGGGTAACTCCACCTCTAGAGGCTGTCTACTAGGTTTGCATTAGGTCTCCCCGCCCGGTGGGCAGGAACAGTCTCGCCCACCGGCCGACGCAGTCCGAGGGAGGAGCGGTGCAAAGGAAGTTTCCTCAGGTAAGTTACTGAAGGGGTTTTCACCCCTTCAGCAACCGGGGGTTGGGGGGTGGGAGGGAGAGGGCACTGATTGTTTTCCTGGCACTGGAGTTTCCCTTTAAGTTATGGTTATTTATGTTTTGGTTACAAAGAGGAGAGAAATTATTAAATGAATTATGGATGTGTCATACAGTATTTATCATATGGTATAATAAATGCTGTGGCCTGTTTTATCCATACTACGTTGTCTGTCATTATTTTGGAGGGGTGAATTGGGTTGGTTTATGTTATTATGCTGCATCGCGATTCCCCACTACGTACATACATGGTGGCTGACAACATGTAAATCTCCCAGTTCTGACGGAGACCCAGGTAGGTGAGGAGGACTGTGCATTATTTTGCTATAGCTCGCATTACGTAGTTATCCTTGCAGTACAAGATCTCTCCATCGAAATAACGGCTAGATTACGCAACATATCTATAATTTCATTGACATTTTTAGGAACTGTTTCATTCTGTCATTTCGATAATATAAAAATTACTCTATACTGTTTAAATATATAATTGGTCTAGCTAACCCATAGTAAATCTCAGACAAGATACTATATACACAACTGTAATTAGTTGTTTAATGGACATAAGTTTAACCCCTTAAGGACCAAACTTCTGGAATAAAAGGGAATCATGACATGTCACACATGTCATGTGTCCTTAAGGGGTTAATAGCCCTGTATATATATGTATATATATATAAAAAAAAACAACAGTGAAAGATAAAATAAAACTTAAGATGCTGCTTACACAAAAGGAAACCCACCATCTACTTTTAAAAAAATAACCAAAAAATAGTCCATAGTACGCCCCAATACATAGAAAACAAGCAAAGGAAAAAAGTTACCTGTGCACTAGCCAAAATCCCTCTGTATATTTAAATAAATGGAGGTTACTTAGTAACTCAAATGGCCATAAGTTGAAAGCCTACCTGCCACGTCAAGGTACACCGCTTAGGTGTAGGGGTTTAGAAAAATACCCCTCTATGTCTCATT